GGACTATCTCCCTCCGAACTTTGACCCCTACCAGTTTGCATATCGCACCAACAGGTCCACAGAGGATGCTATTGCAGTAGCTCTCCACACCGCGCTGAGCCACCTGGAACAACAGCACAGCTACGTTCGAATGCTCTTTGTGGATTACAGCTCGGCCTTTAACACAATCATTCCAGACATTCTTATAAATACATTGGACAATCTCGGCCTCCCCCCACTCACATGTGCCTGGATAAAAGACTTCCTAACCATCGGCCGCAATCTGTAAGACTTGGTCCCCACCTCTCCTCCCCTCGTACGCTGAGCACTGGCTCCCCACAGGGCTGTGTGCTGAGCCCCCTGCTGTACTGTCTCTACACCCATGACTGCAGCCCAGCCCACAACAACAACCTCATCGTCAAGTTCGCTGATGACACCACAGTGGTCGGACTAATCTCAAGGGGAGATGAGACATTTTACAGACAGGAGGTCCTGGAGCTAGCAACCTGGTGCTCAGAGAAAAATATGGCTCTGAATATCAAAAAAACCAAGGAGGTGATTATTGATTTCAGGAAGCACAGCACCAACCTAGCCCCCCTTTACATCAACGGCGAGTGCGTGGAGAGGGTTCACACTTTCAGATTTCTTGGTGTCCATATCTCTGCTGACCTAAACTGGAAAGAAAACACCACAGCGGTCATCAAGAAGGCTCAGCAGAGACTACACTTCTTAAGAGTCCTTAAGAAGCACAACTTAAACACAAAACTGCTGCTGACCTTCTACCACTCGTCCATCGAGAGCCTGCTGACATACTGTATCTCAGTATGGTACGGCAGCTGCACCCTGGCTGACAGGGAGAGGCTTCAGAGAGTAGTCAAGACAGCACAAAAGATCATTGGCTGCCCTCTCCCCTCCCTGATGGACATTTACACATCACGCTGCCTCAACAGAGCAGAAAGCATAATCAAGGACTGTTCACACCCGGGTTTTGAACTGTTTGACTTGTTACCTTCAGGGAAACGCTACAGGTGCATCAGAACAAGAACAAACCGATTCAAGAACAGTTTTTTCCCGAAAGCCATCACCACACTGAACTCACACATGCACTGATTTAATAATCTAACCTCCCAAACCCCTGGACTTCTACTGTGCAATACTACTGACATTTCATACTCTCAATCACCTTAACTACCTCACTAATATCCATAATGTGCAATACAATTGTGTAATACTTGTATTTTTTTACTTTCATTATTATATCTATATTGCGTTACATTTTTTATATTTTTAGTGTGTGTTTAGTGTTTAATGTGTGTTTTCTTAAGGCGTGTTTTTGCACTGGAAAAAGGAGTGGCTCTTAATTTCATTGTACTGCGTATAATGACAATAAAGGCATTCTGATTCTTATTCTGATTCTGATTCTGATTGTGAAAAGAAATCGTCCAACATTAAACAGGGGTGGAGGCCTCCGGGTTCAACTGTCCCCCTCTTACAATGCTGTGATTGCTAATATCACTCAGCCCTCTGTGAACAGTAAACAGCCATCAGTGTGCTAATGATCCATTGTTAGGCTGATGGTCCTTCTTGATCATGTGATCAGCTGGTTTTGGTTGTCAGCAGCAAACTGGTTGATCCACTCTGAGATGGTGCTATTTAAGAGACTGAGCTGAAAACAGCACCTCAGACTGAGGAAGTCTCTTGGATGAGAGACGAAACGTTTCTATATTTTTTTTCCTTTGTTTTGTTTTTTGTTTTTTTGAATGTCCAGAGGACCAGATTGAACTTTCTTGGGTCCCTTAGTTATGCTGCTATAGGCTTAGACTGCTGGATGACAAACTGACCACAATTTTCACTCTGTTACTGTCTTTACTCACTCTGCTCAACCTGTTTTGTATTTGTAATTATTTTTTCTATTCTTAACATGTTTTTTTTTGTCTTTCAGATACACCTGGACCTACCATTCTGTGTTCATCTGTCTCTCCTTCCTGTCCTCTCAGCCAGCCGGTCAAAGCAGATGGCCGCTTGTCCTGAGCCTGGTTCTGCTGGAGGTTTCTTCCTTTTAAAAGGGAGTTTTTCTTTCCACAGGTGCCACTGTGCTTGCTCAGGATGGGAGACTGCAATGAAGCCAAGATTCATCTTGTCTGCTGGATTCCTTAGGTAGAGAACTTTACTAATTGGCTTTTATGTGAATGTTCCTATAAAGTGCCCTGAGACAACTTTGTTGTGATTTGGCGCTATATGAAAAAACTGAATTGAATTGAAATTAATGAATATATATATATATATATATATATATATATATATATATATATATATAAATGGCTACATGTTACCAATGCCAGGTGAGAGCAAAATGGAACAGAAATAAATTTTATTCTAGTTCTCTTTTTTAGGTGCTCTTAGCTTATTCACATTTGTAATTATCAAGTACATGTTTAAGTTCAAGGTTTTATTGTCATTTGCACCACATGTGGTACATGAGGTGGAATGAAATTTTGTATACAGGGTCCCAGTTACAACAGTCCCAACAATAGCAAAAAATATAAAGTGTAAAAAGACACTATATACGTATAAGGATCTAAGATATAAACTAAGAAATTTGCTAAAGACTAATAATGCAAAACAAAAAAAATGAACAAGAGCAGCACAAACATGAGTCTTTGTGAGTAGTTGAGTACGAATGAATACAGAAGCATGAAATAATCAGCAGCATAAGATCCTGGTTATGGATTCATGAGTCTTAACAGCTCCAGAGTAGAAGCTGTTCCTCAGTCTAGTGGTTCTACACTTAATGCTCCGCAATCTCCTTCCTGAGGGGAGCGGAGCAAAAAGTGTGTGTGCTGGGTGAGTGGGGTCCTTCATGATGCAGGTGGTCCTCTCCTGCATCTGGAGATGTAGATGTCTGAGATAGTGGGGAGACTGACGCCAACTGTCTTCTGTGCAGCCTTCACCACTTTCTGCAAAGCTTTTCTTTCTGCAGCTATGCAGCCTCCATGCCACACGTTGATGCTGGAGCACAGGATGCTCTCCACTGCACACCTGTAGAAGGAGGTGAGGACTGAGCTTCCAGACCAGCTTGTCTCAGCTGCCTGAGGAAGTAGAGTCTCTGATGAGCTTTCTTCATCAGGCTGGTGGTGTTGTTGCTCCAGCTGAGGTTGTTGTTCAGGTGCACACAGAAGTACTTGTAGCTGGAGACCACTTCCACTGCAGATACTCCTATATTTAGGTGGGGGGAGGTTGTTCCATCTGAAATCAATGACCATCTCCTTTGTCTTCTTTACATTGATGTGAAGGTTATTCTTCCTGCACCAGCTCTCCAGGTGTTCCACTTCTTGCTTGTAGCTGGACTCATCCTTGTTTGTGATGAATCCCACCACTGCTGTATCATCTGCAAACTTTACAATATGACAGGCTGGATGGGTAGCTGCAAAGACCCATGTGAGAAGAGCGAACAGGAGAGTGCTCAATACAGAGCCCCAAGGGGAGCCAGTGCTGAGGGTTATGGTGGAGGAGGAAAAGTTGTGGATCCTCACTGACTGTGGTCTGTTGCTAAGAAATCCAGAACCCAGTTGCAAATGGAGGAGCTTAGTCCTAGTGTGAATAGTTTGTCCATCAGGGTTTTGGGGATCATGGTGTTGAAGGCAGACGTCCATCCATCCATCCATCCATCCATCCATCCATCCATCCATCCATCCATTATCTTTTACCCACTTCTTCCATTTTTGGGTCATGAAGGTCGCCGGTGCCTATGTCCAGCAATCACTGTGTGGGGGGGGCAGGGTACACCCTGCACAGGTCGCAAGTCCATCACAGGGACACATAGAGACAAACAACCATTCACTCTCTCACTCACACCTAGGGACAATTTATAGTTACAATCAGTCTCACATGCATGTTTTTGGTCTGTGGGAGGAAACCGGAGCTCCTGGAGAAAACCCACACATGCACGGAGAGAACATGCAAACTCCCCCCAGAAAGGCCCCCGGACCAAGATTTGAACCCGGGACCTGCTCGCTGAGAGGCAGCAGCTCTACCAGTTGTGCCACCGTGCTGCCCCAAGGCAGACGTGAAGTCCACAAAGAGCATTCGGACGTAGGAGTCTTTCTGCTCCAGGTGGGTGAGAGCAGTGTGGACCACAGAGGAGATGGCATCCTCTGTTGATTGGTTCTCATGGTATGTATAAAGGTGAAAGTCCTCGTTGATGTTGATGTCACTGTTTTGATGTGGGTCATGCCCAGTCTTTCAAAGCATTTAGCGACTATCGGGGTGAGGGCTACTGGCCGTTAGTCATTCAGACCAGTCACTGCAGAGCTGTTTGGGACTGGGATGATGGCGGCTGTCTTCAGGAAGGTGGGAACAGTTACCAGGGTGAGGGAGGAGTTAAAGATATCGACCAGCACCTCGCAGAGCTGATCGGCACGTTCTTTCAGCATCTTCCCCGAGATGTTGTCTGGGCCAGTTCCTTTGTGATTATTATTATTATTATAAGCATTTCTTTCTTTGTTCTGCTCCCTTTTCATTCAATGTTTTTTTTTCAATGAATTTGTTTTGTTTCTTTTGAATGAATGAATAAATTATAGCAGTATGTGACAAGAAAAATATTTAAAAAACCTGTAAGTTGAAACTTTTCAGTAGTTACTTCTACAAACAATTGCCTCTCTTGATTTCAGGGTCAAGATCTATAGTTTGTTTTTTGTTACCAAATAAATTAATCTATTCACATGACCTCTAAAATGTTTAAGGAAATGTAATTTTGAGTTCATCTGATGAAAGGCTATGCCCTGCTTCTTGTGTAACTTTCTGTCATGTTCCTCTCCCCGTCTCTATTTTGGTCTCTTTCAGGTCTGGCCACATAATGACAGACCTGCTGTATACTAAAATGGCCCTGCCCATGCAGCCACCTCCCTCTTCAGAGGAGTTTTAAACCCTCACTTACAGGAGGCACCAAGACAGATTAAACATCTGGAAAGCCAGTCCTCAAAGTTTCTGACAACTAAAGAACTTTCTTCATTACAATCACCATGGATAACCATTCGTACAACGTCCTTTCTGACTGCACCCCACTCACCAACTGCAAGTTGGCCCGCAAGCCGGCTGGAGCCACTGTGGTGAACATGGGCAACACAGAAAAGAATCCTCCTCGAGACTATCTGCTCTGGTCACTGTGCAACACCTTTTACGTTAACTTCTGCTGCCTAGGTTTTATGGCACTCCTTTACTCAATCAAGGTGAGCCAGTAAGCTTTTATGTTGTTGGAAGATTTGTAAGTGTCAATTCTTGTTTTGCTCATAATTATAAAGTGTTTAAAGCTTTATGTTTACAGATGAATCCAAACAACTTTACAATCTTGTTCTCCAATTTGAGTTATACCTTTATTTAGAACTGTTTATGGTGAATTTTTAAAACTTGTATCAAATCATTCTTTTCTGTCGTGAATCCGAAATAGCTAGTTGTAACGAGACATATTTTTGAAATCATTCCATAGCTGTAAGTAAACAAAAAGGCTATAAAGACGGTAAGCATGTGTTAGACTCCTGGCAAGGACCAATGCAGACGTGTTCCTGTTTTTAGTTTTCTACATTCGCCTTAGAATCCAGCTGTTTTTGCTACTTTTTTGCCATCTTATTTTAATTTGTTTACTTTTTTTTAAATCTGTATGCCTTTTTATAATTGTCCATTGTTGTCATCACTCTTTGTTGAAATCAGGTCTCTATTGTGAAAGAGTCCTCGAGGCTCAATGGGATTAACCTGTCTAAATAAAGGTTGAATGAATATATATAAATGTTGTAATAAAAGCTGAATGAAATGTAGATGAATGACTTGGTAATGACAACTTTAAAAAAAAAATTGGTGTAATGACGCAAATGCTGTTTTAAGAAAGAATGAGTACTTAGTGGTTCAAAACATTATATGCAAGCAAGATATCACCATTATTTATTTAACAATCTTGAGCACACTACAACCATAAAAATGAATTACTTTGAATTCTCAGAACGTAATCCAAAAGATTTAATGACCTGAGAATTGTTAGTGTCCTCAATCAGAGAACAAACATGTTGGACACTTGGCATCTCCTACACCACAGGAGTAGTTTTCACAAAGGCTTACACTTTCCTGACTACAAGCCAAAACATGAAAGCACTGAGTACAAGCAGAGCTCAAACGCTATGACTGCCAGAATAAAACTGTTTGCAAAAAAAAAGTCACCACAAAAGGGTGTACACACATAATATTTAACTTCTTTATTTTCTTTCTGTCTGCATAGGCACTGATCACAGGCATACCATTGGCTCAGTGCACAAATTAAAGACAGTGACCTGCTCTGTGGGGAGTCAATAATTGCATAATTGGCAGCTTCTTAAAGGGCAAGCCCTCTCAATAAATTAGAGAGTGCTCGAGAAAGATTCAATAAACCAGCACAGATATATTTAGTGAGGGTTTATATAACTCTGGCATTGGTACAGCTTGAGTTATAAACTGGACAAGCTGCATTGTAAAGTTAAAGATGATCTTTGTCTTTGTCATCTTCCTCTCCTGCTGGGATCTTTCTTCTTCATGCTGTGAACACAAAGTTCTAATGCCTTAAACTGTCTTGCAACATTTGCAAATTCATGTAATTATTATTATTATTTAATGTATTTTATGTTTGCGTGCCATAATTCTCCAAAGTGCATGTTTTTTGTAGGCCAGGGATCAGAAGACTCTTGGCAACTTGCAGCTCGCCCAGGAGTGCTCAGACAAAGCCAAATGGTACAACATCCTAGCAGCTGGCTGGAACCTGCTGATTCCTCTCCTCGTCATCGCCCTGCTCGTCCTCCTACTCGTCCACCTCGGCTCCTCCCAGGGCTCCTTCGACTTCTTAGGAGAAGATGGGCTTCGAAACTTCATGAATCTGTTCAGCTGGTAGACGAAGGCAAAAAATAGAAGGGAAAATAAAGAATGTCTCAAATTGAATCTATTCACATAAAAAGTCAGGAGACATTTAATTCAGAAGATGATGGACATGACTGCTTCTCAGTATTTTAGGAAATGTTTAAAAGATGCTCAAATATGTAGTAAGAATTTGTACTGCGCTGAAACACACCACAATATTTCAACCCTGTTCAGTTTTAAAACACACGTAAAAAAAAATCATAAACGGTTAAATGGAAAACAATAACACTGTGTGTTTCAAGAATGTCATCTTAGAAATGCACTGCCAAAAAATAGACAAGTGCAGAACTCATGGGTAAATTCAGCCAGTTTCTCTGGTCCTAAAACCAAGAACAAACTGTTATTTTGTTCATTAAAAGCAGCATTTAAGACTTTTTTTTTTTACTTCACACACTTTAGCTTGCAATTATAGGACAAGGGACAGGTGATAGAAACTTTACTAACAATAATTAAGTTCAATTTCCTTTCTGCTGAAAGATTTCAAGAAACTATAAACCATAAAAAAGTTTACATTTTTGGAATGCTGACCTGTAAAAATATGTTTGAAATTTCGCCATTTCAAATTGGGGTTTCATGCAAAAGTTATGAAAAATGAATATCTTGCCTCTTTTATTCCTTAGATAGAGAACTTTACTAATTGGCTTTTATGTTTGTGAATGTTCCTGTAAAGTGCCCTGAGACAAGTTTGTTGTGATTTGGTGCTATATAAATAAACTGAATTGAATTGTGATACCCTCGGTTTGGAGGATTAGTTTAACTCCAAAGGGTCTGATGAGGTGATGGCTAACAGAAAGTTTGAACACAGCTAAGACTCGTTCATGCTCAGGATCCTTTTTAAACTTAAACCACCATGAAATCCACATTTTATTTAGTGAAGAAAGAATTCTAGTTGGTCCAAAAATAGTGGCAGCAGTAGCTAGCTTTAGCACTTTTACTTGCAGACAAACAAATATAATATTTAACGATGCAATATGGAACTCATGGTGGTTTAAAATAACAATCACATGGACCATTATAAAATCTCAACAGTAGTGTGTCCATTCACACTAGTTACAAGCTTGTCACTTAAGTCAGAATCAAAATTATTTTTCCAATCTTAGGTTGTTCAAAGAGCTGTCTACAACAAGTAAGATATTTATGGCCTTTTGACAAATCTATCCATCAAAAAATGTATAGCTTGTTGTGCTGCTAAGCATTAGTGAATCATAATTAGTTGAAATGTGAATTTAATCAAATATTCAATTACTCTGAAAGAAATAAGTGTAAATAAAAATTATAATGACTGTTTTTTTTTTAGGCTAAACAAGTGATCAGCTTCTCTGTAATACTTATATGTTTTATTATTTATTGTATTCATGTTTGCTCAAACTATCTTTAGTCAGATGGGAACAGAATGGAGATCTGAAGAGCACAAAGATAAGACACCACTTTTTTCTTTGTCCTTCAGTAGTTTTTAGATGTTATTATTGTTACAACAGTCAATCATTTTGTCTATATTAGTGGATGTTTTTTCTCTGTTGATTAGCCTGTTTGACTTGACTTTGTCGTTGCCAACATATGAAGCAAATAAACATGACAATACAACATGTCACTGAAAACAACCTAGACTGTCGTCTTTACAAAGTGATCTGGTTTACTTTAAAGAAAATATCCATTTTAGATGTGTTATTTTGAATCTACTCTTGGCATTACAGTGCTGGACATGTTTGTTCATATGGCTCCTGCCGTTCTGCTGCTCCACCTGAACCCAGCATTAAAGTGTTTATTTTGGGTGTTACAATTTAGACTCTCGGGTGGGTCTGATGGAGCGGTCAAGACATGGTTAAATAACTCCAACTGTGAGTTTGGTGCTCTGCTTGCTACAGAATATCCACTTCTGGGAACGTGTACATTTGCCCTTCAGAAGTGAGGAGGGGCTGCCCTGGTGGAAAGAGTGAAACAAGACGGTCTTCAAATTCTCTCCATCTTCACTCAGTCCATGAACATTTAACTGGCTAAATGACAGAAGTTTGGAAAAGATTTGCACTTCTCTTTTGCTGAAGCCACAGGACACTTGTCAAACCATTCTTTGAATTATTTTGCATGTAAAGTGATGAGTTTTTTTCTTATTATTATTTTTCAACTGCACCCAGGGAGTAACTGAGGGTTAAGGGACTTGCTCAAGGTCTCAAAGTGGGGCACCCACATTTTTATCAGTCTTGGAATTTCACCCGGCCACCTTCTGATCTAAGGCCTCTGTGCCACCACTCTCTTCTGTAAAGTGATAAGAAAGTTTTAATTATATAAGAAAATAATAATTAAAAGTTTTAATAAATACCATAAAGTATATCTCAAAACATCCATTTATATCCATTTGATGTTTTAGACATCACTTCTTAAAAACACAGCTTCTTGGATTTCGTTTTTGATCATTTAGGATTTGCACTCCCTTCAGTCTACCACTCTGAACTCCCATCATATTATTAGCTTCTTCTTTTTTCACTTGCAGCCTTATTTATATCCACACAAATCATAGCCCACACTTCCCAGCTTTCTATTTTCCTCTTGTGATTCCAGGAGGAAACCACATTTCCAGAGAATTCTCCAAAGAAATGCTTACAGATGTTTGAGGAAAATTATAGGACAAGGATAGATTGGCTCAACAGTAGAAGCAGGCATAAACTTCCTCAGGATTCTTTTAGGAGTTGCTTGTGCCAACAAACTCTTTGAAAGTAATGCAGAAATGGATGTGAAGGTTGTAGGGGAGCAACTGCACCCTGTAGACAACCTCCCACACTGGTTCCAGAACACTGCAGGGCCCCACCCAGATGCTGTTCAGTTTGGGACACTGTCCTTTTCTTCTCTTTGAGGTAAAGACCTACACCAGCTCCCCAGCAAGGAAGTGCTTTCCCTTAGTGGTGATGTCATCATTTTTCTTTTGGCACAGTCCCGTCTTTGCTAGCTGGTCCCGGGCATAGGAATGTGATGACTCAGACCGGTCCTGCAGTTTCCTTGTGTAGTCTGCACCTGGTTGTGCCTCTGGTGCATCAAGGAGCTTCCCAAAAGCCTGTTCAGCAGGGGTCCTCAGCTCCCTTCTTAATATGAGCAGGGCAGGTGTGTGCCGAGTTGAGTCCTAAACTGCTGACTTGACATGAAAGGTCATATCTAGTTTCATTAAACAACACAACACAATGACTGCTTCGTGGAAGGTCTTTAGAGATGTTGTTTAAGCATTGAATGCTAAGGACTATTGTGCTGCACTTTATTTAGACCTGTGGACCAAGGGTGTCCACACTTTTTCAGCATGCAAGATACTTTTAAAATGACAAAATCAAAGTGATCTACTTAAATTAAGTCTCGTTTACACGAGAACAACTTCTGGAAATGTTTGAGTTTTTTCAATGTTTTATTGGGGGTGATAAACAAAAAAATGAAGAGTTTACACAAAAAACGCTGTAGTTTCCATGTCTGTTGGGTTGCCAGATAAGAAATTATGAACTATAGTAATGTGGCTTTAAAATTATAGTATTTTGACCTAAACTGTCATATGTGCTGAGTAAAGATGTTCTAAGATGAGGTGTGTGTTGTGTTTGTTGAACATGTGCACAGAAAAGGAGGGGGTAAATAAGATATTTTAAATGTATCTGGCAACCCTGACGCCGGCTCAGCTGCATTCATCGTGCAGGCAGCATCTGCATGATCACAGTTATGTCCAAACTGGTGAATGCACCAACATCTCTTTGTAACTGGGTTTTATTAGTTTTGCTCCTACATGCTGAAAAAGGTGAGTAGCACAAAACACTTTGCTGTTTGCCATTTATTAAAACTCTTGTTAGTGCAGAAAAACTTTTGACTGCAGCCACCTATAGTGTGCATGTGTGACTTCTCACATGGAGAAATTCATGGGATGGAGTGGGGGATAAATATGGATAAATATAAATATTTTCCCCGAAAATCTCCACTCTGAGACCTGGTTTGAGAGAATGATGGCTGTGAATGGCTGTCCTGTATGTCAATCAAGTAACAAAGTTCATAGTGAGGATGGATGATAGGCTGACATCTTTTTTTAATTAATGCCATGCGATCTACCCATAACGCCTTTGCGATCGGCCAGTAGATCGCAATCGACGTATTGGGCACCCGAGTCAATGTTCCCTCTAATTTTTCATGTGTCTGGGCAAACAACAAGTTCCCTGAGTGCTCTGAGGACCACTGTGAGCAACATTAAATGTGCACGCTGTGGTCACACACCAGTATCACACCTGTTCAAAATCTGTGATCATAGCAAGTTAAATAACTTATTAAAAGAATCAAATTACAGCAGAAATTTCCATTAGTATACTTTTAATATAAGTGATTTGGCAAACTTCAAAATGAAGAAGACAATAATTTTGTTGTTCATGTGATGTGTAGTATGTTACTTTGTAAATGTGAGAGTCCTGCTTTGGTCTGGGTGAGGGTCCTGCTCTGGAAGATGGTTAGCAATGCGGAGGCCATAGGCCCTTTTCACAATTACGTCAGACAACTTCCGTTCTGACTCGATGCAGTGGATCAGTACTTCCGGGTCTGTTCTCCCTCTGGAGACCTGTCTGGAAACTTCACGGAATTTCATTCATTCAACCTTTATTTATAGAGATTAAATTACAAGATATAGCGCAAGGTATGGTTAATAAAAACTGTATTTACGTGTTTGTTAGCCGTGGTAAAGATATCCATCATTGCAGCAACTTTAGCCACAGGTAGCTAAAATATACACCGCTGCTGCCTGTCACTGCGGTAACATTTAAAGGTTTACTTTCTATATTAACGTTAATAAAAACAGTATTTAAGTGTTAGTTAGCTGTGGTAACGTTATCCATCAGTGGGTATGTTTACATGGACATAAGTAACTGGATCAAATGGCCGGTCGGAATAAAAGTGTGTCATGTAAACACTCCGTTCGGGTTATTTATCGTGTATTCGGAGCGATCCGATATAATTTGTGATCAGAACGAA